CTCCTTGTCCTTGTCGGCGCGTCCGCTCGAGGTCGCCGGACCGGTGTCAGCTTAGAGCCAGGAGCACTGCGGGTGCTTTGAGGACGCCACTCGACACTCTCGATCAAACCACCGAACGTACTAAGGCTGGCACTAGTGTGGTGTGCTGTACAATAATGTCTTTACAGCTCAATGTGCTCGATGGTGTCGTCATCCGTGTCGACCTTTTTTTCCTTGGCAATGTCGGCCTTCATGCGCTCAAACATGGAGTTTTCCTTGGTCTTGGGCGCTTCCTTGATGACGAGCGCACTTGGGTACTTGCCGAGCAAGCGGTAGAACATCACGGGCGCCTTGTCTACGCGCCGAATAAATACGGCGGGCGTTCGGTATCGAAGTGCGTACCTGCGTATTTTTCAAAGAGCGTGTCGACCGACTCGAGGCCGTTGGCATGCGTCGCGACAAAGTACTCGAGGCGGGCGCGGTTCTTGGCCGGTAGCTTGTCCTTCTCGACGCACGTACACGCCTCCTTTTGCGCCTTTGTAAACGCAGGACAGCCCATGAGCTTGGGGCCCATCGCGTAAATTTCGGCCATCGACTGGCACGACTTTTGCGCGTCGTCGTCGCTCTCGTGGGCGCAGAGGTCTTTCATGCACTTTTCAAACTTGCGTTCGCACATGGCCTTGGCGATGCCGCACACGCCATAGCACTGCGACTGCGATTGAGCCACGGCGAGTCATATATGGCCATTGTACGTACCGCATCGTGCCAATTGCAGCAGGACGTAAAGTCGAAGCCGTCGTCGTTCATGACCTGGAAGCCCATCGACTCGGTGCCGCAGCCGTTGGCCCAGATCTTGTAGTCGCTAGTATGGCCAAGTGAGCGCGAGCGAAGAGGTCGTCGGCGCCTACCGCTTGGGCGCAAGGACCTTTCCCTTCTTGGCGCAGATGTCGCCGCGCGCATCGCACACCTGGTTACTCTCAAACATGGCGTCGGCAGCCTGCAGCACCAGCGCCAGCGTCGTGGCAGCGCCAAGGACAGACGTGCGGACCATGATGCGAAACAGATAAGCGATGCAAAGGAGGAGTTGCGCGGTAAAGTCCCTTCTTGCAGTATTATCTAGCCGTAATGCACGGAGCTACCCATATTATTTTTATTGTCCATCCATAAACTTATCATTTGTATGCAATCGTGACGTCGCGTCAAAATAATATCGAAGCTACCGGATAAAAAGTAACCGGAAGAGAAATCCAGCGGCCGAGCGTCTTCACTACACTATTTAGAAAAACTTAAATAGTTTGCGAGCCGTAGGACGAGGTGCATTGCGCAGCGCGAAACGCAATTAGAAGTGGCATCCAGAGCAGTGATCAATGAGTACCCGTGACGTATAGCAAAGACGCCCTGCAGTCTAAACCGAGGTCGCTGTCGTACTCGTCTCGATAGGTGCAAATTACACTATTTCATGGAAATGGACCAACACACGATATCGGTTACTGGAATGCTCTTCGCTGGCAAGCGGAGTAAAAGATTTGTTGACCAAGCGGCAGACAGCATGGCGATGCGAGCGATGGCGTCGATGGCCTCTGCGCACCTCAAGCATGGCAGCCCTATGTACGGGCAGGCGTACCGCCGGTACCACTACGACAAGGGTACGGCGAAGGACATGATGACCAAGAGCTGCTACTACGGCGTCAACTTCATCATTGACCAGAACGCGACGGTCTTTGAGGCGATCACGCGCATGGCTGGCATCAACCTCGGGTGCTTGGCCGTCTCGGACGGCAACAACCAGTTTGTCGGTGTCGTGAGCGAGCGCGACTATCTCAAGAAGGTCGAGTTGCAAGGGCTCACGGCCAAAGAGACACTGGTCGCGGAGATCATGACGCACAAGGGCCGGCTCGTAAACGCGCGGGAGCACGAGACGCCGTCCGAGCTCATGACCAAGATGCTCAACAGCGACGTGCGCCACTTGCCCGTCGTCGACAAGAATGGCGACATCATTGGCATGCTCTCGATCAAGGACATTGTCCGCGAGGTGAACCGCGAGGTCGAGGCCGACTTTGACACGCTCACGAGCTTCTCGCTCGGAAAGGGCGGCCACTTTGTCTTAGACTAAACGTCGTGTAAGGACTACGACCACAATGTACGACTTCCTACGCATGTTCATGGACGTCGTCGGCGGCGGCCCAGCAGAGGATCGCGCCGCTTGGGCGAACCGTTTCATTTGGCACCGGTTGCTGTAGAACGCGATCCATGGTGCTCTTGGACCGGCAACTCGTCGAGGGCAACGTGAGTACACTCGGGAAGCACCCGATCAGCAACAAGCACATCTTCACCAAGCTCGTCGTGCAGGTATATACGTTGCCCCATGTCGTGGCCGTCGTGATCAGTGGCGTGTAGCAACAGCAACTCGAGGCCATTGACATCTTGGCTGAGTTTCCGCATCTCCAGGTGCGACTTGGATGTCGAACTGCGTACAACGCCTTGGGCTAGGACGTGAACGTGGCCGAGAACCAGATCAAGACGCTTGCACCGCTCGCCCACCTGCCCTTTCTCCTTCGCCTCGATGCCTCCCACAACGACCTGACGGCGCTCCTCGGTACCCACATCGACTCGCCGCGCCAAATGTTCATACTGACTAGACTTTGACACGCCGCTATGCACGAAAGCGCAGGCGTGGGTCGACGGCAGCCACGCGATCGGGTCCATGCTGCACGTCGCCAACTTTGCGTGGAACCGCATTACGGCCATGCGTGACCTCTCGCGCCATCGCTACATCCAGGAGCTCGTCCTGGACCACAACGAAATCACTGAAATTTCGGGTCTCTCCGCCCTCGTCTTTCTCAAAGTGACTTTGAGGCAAATGGTTTTGAGTTTGAAACACGATGATGTTCTAGCATGTGAGCTTGACCCACAACAAGCTGCGCTCGACCAAAGGTCTCACGGGCAACCTCCCGATCGAGACGCTGGACTTGTCGTACAATGAAATCTCCATCACCGCCGACCTTCCGCGGCTCACGCGTCTCTTGCGCGTCAACCTGGCACACAACAGCGTCGAAGCGCTCAAGGACTTTGGGGTGCGTGTCTTTTCAAAAATGTTATAGCAGATGTTGCAACAAGTCGTCGGGTGGTAGAACTGCAAGGTTCTCCAGTACCTTGACGTGTCGTACAACCGTATTCGGGAGCTGCACCACGTTGACGCGCTCACCAAGCTCCGGGACCTGAGTCATCTCGACTTGAGCCACTGTCCCGTACGTCATTATCTCTACCACGCGGAACACACCACATCACCCGTAGGTTGCCCGCATCCCCTACTACCGCTACCGGGTGCTCGTCCGGACGCAGCAAGTGATCGAGCTCGATACGATTCCGGCCTCGGTTCGCGAGCGCATCAAGGCCCAAGTCCTCCACGGCGAAGACATTCGGTCGCGCGTCGAAGTGTTTGAAAAGCATTTGCAAGGACGTGAGACCTTTGTGAACCACTTGCCGCCGCTCGACCGCGATTTTCGGTACCGCGAGCTCTCGACGTCGAGCATCGGCCACCTCTTCTGCTTGAAGAAGCCCAAGACATCGGCACCCAAAGAGTCGGCCAAGAGCTTTGCGACCGAGGCCGCGTCGCACGCGATCCTCGTGTACGCATCGAAAGGTTGCGTGTTTTTAGAAATATGACGTGGCAACGTAGGGCGCAGACGAAGATCGCAACCAAGTCGTTTGCGGCCGACGTCTTGGACAACATGTCCAAACGCTATCCATTCCTGTTTGGCCGCGAGACCGTTCCACGGAGCTCGGGTCGCACCCGCTTGGTCACAGACACCAAAGGCGTCTGATCACAGCTCAGCTGGCGTCGTTCGGATTCGTCACACTTTCAATGGCTTGAACGCACTCCACACTTGCATATACACCACGATCGGTATACCTATTTGGGATTTTGCTTGGATAATATCTTTCACACATAAGTACATTGGTAGTATCTCTGCAAAGTAAGGGAATACACACAATCTGGTATGCCCTGGCTGCAAAGGGACCTGGATACTTCAATCCTGTGCCAGCATTCTGATGCTTCTCTGCATGGAAGGACGACACGTCCATGTAAGATCCGTCGTCGCTCGTATCTATCTTTTAATTGAATAACGACTTTTTTGCGCGAAGCGCGGCACGAGCGTAGCGAGTGTTTTGGTATTGATGCGCGCAGCGCCAATCCCGAGTGCAGCGTGTGCACTTGCGATTGAACGGTAGGATAATGTGCGCGATAGCGCAACGTATGAGCGTAGCAACTGCACTTGATATCGATGGTTCCTGCACGATGGCGCAGGACTTTGGAGCTACGCTTCGTCTCATTGTGTTGGATCAAAGTAAGTGTTAGATCCCGATGTTATGTTAGA